CCCCAAAACCCCAAAACCCCAAAACCCCACGAAATTGTAATCTCGCTCAATAAATTATTAAGTTAAATAATATTTGATATTTGATTTAGTATAGTGAATATTTTTTCACAAGCCCTCTAGTTTAATCTTATTTTTAAGTCTTAAATTTCTTCTAAGATTAAAGTCTTTGTATTTTTCACTTATCTCTTTCACACTAATCTTGTTAATTGTATTCGCTTTTTCAAACTCATCGATTCTCTCGATGGTACGATCAGCTTGTCTGGCTAATTACTCCTCTTTAACCCCTCCAACTCCAGTTGAAGTTCTTAATTGCTACTCAAAAGCATGCTTGATATTCCCTTTAATCTTATATTTAGGCAAAAGCAGAGATGCATTGTTTAACTCATCACTCATTTAAGATGTTCTTTTCAATAACCTTGATTGTAACTTTGAATTCCTACCGGCTTTAGTATGTTACAGGAATAGAAATTACTTAAGGAAATTATTCTTACTATTTTCAGATGATGCCTCAGTATTTTCATTTAAATTATTTTTATTTTGACCTCCTTTAGGGTTTTCTGAGGTGTGATAATCAAGTGCCTTTTATTTCTGAATTCTTTCTAAGTCCAAAAGACTCGCGCTTCTTTGATCTTTATTCCCATATTCATTTTCATACTCTATTTCTTCTCTTAAAAAATCATCATTAGGCAAACTTTTAATGCCTTTAAATTCCTATGATTCCCTTTCCTTAATTATTTTAATTTATTACTTAAGCCTCGAGTTTTTAAGTTTCCTTATATTATTTGCGCTCATTTCATTGGCTAATTTGCTTTAGCCAAGGATGCCATTATTATTAATTTCTATGGCGTCTTAAATCTCATCTACTATTTTATCCTAAACCTTTTTGTAGAGTAGATCCGACTGTTCTTACAAAGCAAATTAGCATTTAATCTTTATCCTATCTAATCTACTCTGGTGAATAGCTGTGTGAGATTTAGATCTTGATTATTGTGAATTTCTTAGATTTGAGTACATTGAGTTTTATTGTAAAGGATCTATAATCTTAGAGTGAGCTGGTTTCTCATCAATAACTTATAGATCTTAACATATACTGTAGTAAGTTTTATCAATATTTTTAGGATACAAAGCCTGAACTGATCTGTTATGCTATTAATCGTACTAGCTATTATCCAATATCATTTGCTTTAACAAATTTTGCTCAACTAGGCTTTCATCTAAGGTCATTGAACCACCAAAATTGCTTTAGTTATCTTAAAATTGCTAGCCTCCATCATAAGATGTTTTTCTCAATCCTCCTAATTATGTGGAGTTCTATCTGGATCTTGAAGATTTTAGCAATGTGCTTGAGTAAAAAGATTACTGAGTTTGCAATCTCACATAATTTCCATTATCATTTTATTTGACATCAAAAGGCGAATTAGAAACTCTAGATTGTCTTCTTTGTTATACACTTTGATTTGAAGCATAAGGATTAACTCCATACATAAATAGTCCATCATTAACTGGTTTTCTAATAAAAGTTGAACTTCTAACTGGGTCTTCTATATTCTTGTTGCTTATATAGTCAGTAATATGAGTCATCATATTTATTATTGATTTCTTCTCAGCTTATTTGGTGACTTTTTCATCGCTACCATCTGAGTCTCTATAACTTTTCAAATTAATGTCCTCTGCACTCTCTCGAGCTCTTATATAGTTCAGCGCTATTCTGTTCTTCTGCAATTAAGTTAATCGCTATTTCATAGACTTTTTCTTTTCCTCCTGCGTGATTTAACTTAGAGCATTACTCAGATAAGTCATTGACTGCCTTCTTTAATCGACTGCTTAAGTTTTCATTTTTAAGATTGGGATTTTGGTTCTCTCATTTTCAAGAATAAATTAGAGCTCTCTTTTGGCTGATAAACTGTCTTAGTCAAATTTACTTTCATTTCAACCATGCTATATTAAGCTAGTTATCTTATTTTGTAAAGATCCAAATATTTAAAGCCCTTTACCCCCATTTTTGGAATTCAGTAAGATTGAATTACCATATTGATTGTTGTTATTATAACCATTTTTATTAATAGAAGCTAAAGAAGCACTCATCTACTTCGAGGTATCAAATGAACTGTCTTAATGAGCTTTAATAAGCATTCTATATTTAATTGAGTATTCTAGATTAGCAGCATGTTCCTTTTGTCTTGCTTAAATCATTGCAGCTTTTGCCTGTTTTGTTGTAGAGAAGTGTTTACTATCTGACAAATTTTGTATACTATTATTTGACATTAATTAAATATATATATTTTAATGTTTATTCCTTATATCTTTTTAATTGACTATAATGTAAAAAGACAAATGAATGACGACTGCGAACTCACGGGGTTTTGGGGTTTTGGGGTTTTGGGG